GCGAAGGTGGAGTTTCCACTTGCAAATTGTACGTCACGCAATTCGTCGACGGCAGAAACTCACCGGCAACGAGAATCTAGTAAATTTAGTTGCGATTGTGGAAAACGAGAGTTGTAGGACAAAGGAACTTCGTGCTTGCTGGCAGTAATTAACTGCTATATCGCAAAGCACAGAGACTATTTAACGCGTTTGCTGTTAACAGATCGGTAAATTCCAAGTTACATTTTTCGACCGCATGTTTATCGTTTTTACTATTCAGTGTATTGTAGCTGAAATGCTTTTTTAAATCGAGTCTCCTGACACAAATGTCGCTTTATTTTAAAATTTGATATAAAATATCTCGTTTTGTTTATTATAAAATGTATATTCGGTTATCGATCGCCATATTACAGTTCACTAAATATACAGTTATTGAATATTGCGGTTTGTATATCTCCGTATTTATTTTTCTTTGTTTCCGCTTTAGAGTGGACTTGAAATCGATACCATTCTCTCAATTCTTTCTACTCTTCTCAAGTGTACCGCGAATACGGAAATATTCCGCACGTGTTTGTACATGGTAATGCATTCCCGCTCTAAACGCAAACAATCCTTATCTCGGCGCTGCCATTCGTGAATTAAGTATCGCGCAGTAGAATAAAGTGCACTCAGATACAAAATTAATTGCTAAAGTTTCTGCGCTGCGTTTACGAGCGCGCCTTTTTATACTTTGTACGTACCGAGTCTCACCGTTACTCTGCAATTTGTGTTCGTGACAAATTACTTGATTGAATTTAAATTATATAATAAGTAAAATCGATCGAGAAATGTTCAACAAAAATAAGCAAAGATATTGGCTATATTCAGTTAAAGTGGATTTTGATGCTTAATAATATTTTTAAATAAGTAAATTTACTTAATACATCTTACTTAATACATCTTACTTAATAAATCTTACCTTAATACAAATTATATTAAAATATTTAAAAAATTAAAGATATTAAAATAAAGATATAAAATAAAAATATTTAAATAATACAATAAATTTTTATATTAAGCTCATTTATATTAAATCAAAATTAGTTTGGCAGTCAAAATATAATATTAAATTGAAAGAGTTTCGATGAGATTGACTTCTTCGATATGAATTTAATTCAATATTATTACATAACTATTAGATATCTGTAAAATTTATTATAGCTACGTATTCACATACACCAAGAAAATATTGTAATAATACAATAATTTATTATAGAAAAAAATTGTCAAATTACATAATAAACATTATTATTATATGAATCTTGTAAATTTTTATCCTTAGCAAATGTTAAAATATAACAATCTTTTATACTAATTTTCATACTTATAGTTATACATATATTATAACGTTTATGTTTTTTAATTAAATAAAAATAAAGAATTTTTTATTTTATGTCCTAATATTTTCTTCGTGTACGTTTGAATAAATTTTTCTCTATTTAAAAACTATAATCTACTTATGTATAGTATTGAAGGAGTTCATGTTTATGGTTAAGAAGTTATAAATGAACCAACAAAAAGTCCGTCTTAAATTGGTCGACAAACTCGCTATCAACAGGAACAATGGTAATCGCTGGAGGGATATCCTCTATGGAAAACAAGTATAACCACCGAGTTGGCCGCAAGTTAGCGTGGCGCACTTGTTAGTATACCGTCGCTTTTTGTATCCCAGCGGTAAAACTTGCAAGCGCCCACGATAATTTCATGCAAACGGCCGCGAACGACTCGCGCAACGAGCTGGCCTGCAACGAAACGCTAGAACACCCACGAGTTATCGTTATCATGCATCGTGGCAGCGATCGCGGTTGGCGATGGTTTATGAAGGTTGCATTGCGCGAGTGGACGATTCGCCCAACCGTATATAATAAAAATATCTTCCGTTGCTCGGGTCCCTTTTTAGCGAAACTTTGCCGCGATGCTGTCGCTTTTAGAGCAGCGAAGCGGCGCGACGTCCTCATTAATGAGTACCTCTTGTAATTACCCTCGTTATATTCTATTTGCTCCTAGCTAAAACACAGATAGAGAAATGGTGAGTGTTTGCTAGAAAATCCATTCTCCATTTAGCTAAAACTCTGTTTTTCTAAATAAAGAAAAAACCTTTGCATTTCTTGATGATTTGGACTAGTGTGTTTAGTACACAGAGAGAAAAATGTTTGGTATTTGTAACTATAATTATAGTAATATATAATTATAGTTACAAATACCAAACATTTTTCTCTCTGTGTAATCTTTTACGTTTTTAAAGATTTTGTATCATAAATAACTCTTTCGGGCATTTTTTCTTTCTTATTTTTAAATGCATGAATGTATAGAATGAAAATTTGGTTATTTTAGAAAGATAAAGTGGCTAGCTTTTGATTAATATAGTAAAAAACTTTTACTATATCTCTCTCTCGAAGTACATAAGAAACGATCTATTTATTTTGAAATCTATAAGTTTTCTGAAATGTTCGAGACTTCTGTAAATGACGTTAATAATTTGATATGAATAAAACTCTTTTACGGACTTTCGTCTGTGCTTGTGATATAATAATTGATGAGAACGAAACTTTTTGTTTTGAAATAGTTTTACAAATCAGTCATTTTATGAGATATGTAAAAAACGAGAATGGAAAAGATTGTGTTTTTTAACAAAATAAAATTTGCAGTATGCTCTTGGATGATCATACTTTTCTGTTTATTCTCATTATTTAACTTTTGCGAGCAGTTTGCGTGTAGTTTACGGTGAAGCTTCTGTGTAAAACACAGTGGTGCTTTGCGCTTTTCCCTTTGTAATCCGTCAATTTCAGAAGCGTGTTCTCTACTTTTCTATTGCTTTTAAAATCCACTGAGAATTTTGTTCGTCATAGCTATATCTATACATTACTTTCAATTACCTTAAGTTGGCTGCTGCTCGCAGTTTCCGCAAAAATTAAGCAACTTTTCCGTTTTGCATGTATCGCACTAAAATGTACGCGAGTACCTATGCATGAACATTCATTGTTAAATAATTTAGTTGGATCTTTTATGCTCGTTGAAAGTTATTATTGGGACAATAAAACGAAAAATTCTGCAAAAAAAATTTAAACTTACAAATTTATAATTGTATTTTGATCAAAACGACAATATATTCATTGCATAAATCAACATTACATTTCCATTGCATTGCAACTGAATATTGATTAAAAAACACATTTAAAACAAAAATAGTTTTGTGGCTTCAAGAATAAATTAAGTATAAATTGCCTATATGAATCTTCGCGGTTGTTAGTGCGTAAATAATATATTTTTAAAGTGATACGATATGTGCAATTAATGTCGTTGGTAAGTACATTTCAGTTATTTGCAAATCACATTTTATCGCGTCTCATAAATATCTTAAATATTATTTATCCACTAATTACGGAGGATTATATAGGATTATATCTTACTCATATTACATTTAAAACAATTTTATCTCTATCTTGTTTCTAAATTGGCAATATTTTACGATTAAGTTTAAATGTTGGCATTACTCCATTTTATATGTAGAGCTATACTATCAACATTCTATTGTAGCAATGCTTCCTAAACAATGTCTATAATGAGATTATAAACGCCGTAGGCGTCTACAATGAAATTTTAAGGTATAAAACTTAAGTTTAAGCCTTATACCGTAAATTGTCTAATCATAGTCGAATTTGAGGAGAATAATCAACTATGATTGGTCAATTTCTTACGGTTTAAAGCTTAAGTTTTATATCTTAGCCCACAAATACATGTATAAGTATTTTATAATTCGGACGAAATGACGAAATTTTTTTTTTTCGTCAGTGAAGATGATGCGGTTTACTTTCGTTGTATCTCATACTTATTTGCGAACATCTCAGTGTAATCAGAGCCGCAGAGTCAGATGATGTAATCGTAAGATGATACACCCTCTGAGATGACTGCAGCTTGTATTCAATCTACTCTTCGCAAAATTACGGGAGAAAATGCCGAGTAAAATGAAAAACGTATGGTTAAAGAGATTCGCGAGTACTTTGCGCAAATAATTCTCGACAAAACATCTCGGAAAGAAATAAAGCCGTGTTTATTGAATCCTCATATAATTCTGATTGTGACTGATATGAATAATTTTGACAGTAATTTTATTAAAGCACAAACCAAAAACTGTAAAATTCCAGGAATAGAATTTATGATATTGAAGTCAAATTGTTTAATTTGTTGAATGCTACTGTATCACATATTATGTCACACATTTTTTATAATTGGGAAATATCTTCTTAAAATATATTGTTATTAATTGAATAAAATTTGTTATTTATAGCTCACGATACAATTGACATAAAGTGAACATATTACCTTTGAGTGTCACAAAAAATTTTATTATTAATCATTTCATATTAAAAAAATCTTTATAATAAATTAATCTTGAATGGTATAAAAATGAGTATAAAATCATTTTTTATATTTCAACGGACTTAAATTATGTTTTAAATGATTTAAAATATTAAAACTAACGCATTGATGCTTGAAATTGACGAAGATTGTAAGAATCGAAGATCTTTTATAAAATTTTGATGAAAAGTAGATTGTGCAAATTCATTACAGTATCGATAACTGGTAAAACGGACAATGAGAAAGTTTTGAAACTGTTCTATATATTAGCGTTTGGGATGATAGAAAATCCATTAGAAGAAAGAAAAAATGCTCGTTACGTATATGACTTTTTACGTTAGATCGCTTCGAATTAATCGCGGTTATCCGGTAATTTCCGATTCCTTTCGGTTCATTCGTGAAGAAAACGGCAGGGAAAAAACGGAAAGTTTACCACCGAATTGGTTTCCTTGCAATTTTCTTCGGCGAGCGACCTCGAGATCATCTCGGTAAATGTAAAACCGCCATCCTGAATTTTCTCTTTGCTTGTGAACGAGTGGAATTTGGGGCGAGAACCACCGTTTCCGTGTCCTGTTCACTTCCGGCGTTTTCCTTCCCTCCTGATCTCCCTGAATTGCGCGACGATTGCTTTCTTCGCCGGGTTTCCGAGTTTCCTTTGTATTATTTCCGAGCTCGCTCATGCTCAAATTTGTTACGCTTGCGAAAGATTCGAATTTTACAATATCGTTTAGCATGTGTGATAACGTTCTGTATGAATTAAATCTATCGCCGATATTTGAAAAATGTTAATAAAATATATCGCAAAAATATTATATAAAAAAACATTTATTTTTCATACAATATATTTATCATTTAAAGAAAAGAATTAATCATAATAATTTGAAAAATTGTAAATAATAAATAATGTATTGCCATTCAATGTAATCATTGTCTTAGCTTCTGGAGCTTTAATATATATTTGTATTGAAATGGCAATTTGTGTCATGTTATTAATATATTATGCTATTTATGTTGAAATTCGTTTTTATGAGATTATATTTAGAAAATAGCATTAGGTCAAGATTATATGTATTTGTAAGAACTCTTTCAAAGTAGTTTATTATAATGTCAATTATTGATATGTCAATTAATTAAACCGTACACATTTGCCAATAAAAGAATAAATATATCTGTATAAAATCACATTGCAATTTTTTTTAATAGCCATATTAAACCTACTTTTTTTTGTTTTGTCTGAATTGTATAACAAACACTTTATATGTAAATTTAAATCATACCTACATATGTTAAAATATTGAAAACAAAGACTCAGACTTGGTTTTAGAAAACAAATCTGTTTTTTCCCGTATGTCTGCTAAATCCATTTCCATATAGCGGAAGTGTATTTCGTTAAGGTTCACTGTACCAAGAACGAAACGCTGATATCTATTTGAAAAATACGTTAGCTGGTCCCAGTAGCTTGAATATTTCAACCCAGATAAAAATTGCAATTTTTTGGAATCTTGCGCAAGTACCACCTTAAAATTAATATTTCGTTTTACAACATTAAAACAATACTAACAATTATTAGATATAACAATTGTTAATAGAATTCCAAATAATTTATTATGGATTGATATGTAAATAATAATTGTATTTAGATATCTTACCGTATTTCCATCAGACTTTTTATAAATATTGGTACCTAGTATAGACATATTCTGAACATTGCTGTAAAATACTACATGTTCCGCTGCTGCCATCGGTAATATTGGGTTTGCAATTCTTTTCACAAGTTTACTATTTTTGTTAGCTTCTTCTTTATTTGGACATTTTAGCAGCGTCTTTATTTTTATTTTATAGATTTCATTTCCCGATAGAGAAGCATAATAAAGATCTAAAATATTTTTAATGCAATGTGAAAAGATCATAGGAATCAGTGAAATTGTTTATTTACAAGACAGTTTTCTAAGTTTCATTGTTAGTAGCGTGCATAAATGTATCAGATTGCTCAAATGAAAAAGAAACGGGCGTTGTGGCAGCTATCCCTGGCGATAATATCAAAACGTCTGTTATGCATATTTGATGTTTGCTGCATACATTATGTATGTATGCAATGTTATGTGTACATGACGTGCATGTGACGTCACGTGTTCTTGGATAGGAAGTATTGACAAGGAGTTCAATCAGTGCCTTAGCATCCAGTTTACTTGTTAAGCGGAAAAATAGCGTTTTTACTGGAAAATTTATCCAATGAAGAGCAACGTGTGGTGAATGTATGAACCAATATTGAATTTTTAGTGCCATGTTTAAGCGAAGTTTACCTAAGAAAAGTTTCTTTATATTGAAAAAAAAAATGATATGCGCCTCAAAGAGAAAACCTAAACCTTTTATATTTGTTTTCAACCGAGCGCTGCTCCGCTCTTCTTTTGTGAGCAGGCAAAGTTAAAAAATGCTTTTTGCTTCAATTTTGAATAGCTCGGTGAAGAAAATTATATACACTGAAAAAAAAGATTGGCTGCTGCAGCAAATTAGATGATAAAATATGGCATAGCATTTTTAATTGGTTGCAGCAGTCAATTTTTGGTTGTGTTAGTCTATTGAAATCCTATATTGACATTGCAGATAGGCTAAAGCAATCAAAAATTGGCTGCTGCAGCCAATTAAAAATACTATGCCATATTTTACCATCTAATTTGCTGCAGCAGCCAATCTTTTTTTCAGTGTAATAATCAATAAATACGCAAATCAAAGATAAAACTTCACACACACTCTCTCTCTCTCTCTCTTTTGAAAGGTGTAAACTACGTTAGTGTGTGATTTTTAATTTATTATGGAACTTTGGAAATAAGTTTGTATAAATAATAAAATATTTAGATTTAACGAATCTATTTGTATCCGTGTATCTGTCCGTAAAAATTCAGTTAGATCTTTATCTAGAGCATCGATCTGAAAAGTAGAGACTTCAGTTTCAGAAAAGTTTCAAAATGCTTTTTGAATCATCTCATTATGATAATTTTTTGCGCTCTCTTGAAAATTGTCCATTTTTGGAGGGTAGAATACGTGATCCCATCCTTTTAATTTTTTTACGTAGTGTATTGAACAAAAAAATTATGAATGGTGTAAAAATTCATAACACTTGTAATAAAATAATGTTAAAATAATTTAAATAATGTTCATTTTAATAAAATAATGTCAAAATAATGCTGATTAAAAAGCGAGTACTTGCCATCGCCAAGGACTGTCAAACTCAAGATACCACCTGTATAAATAAAATTTTGGCCTGCTACAGAGAAAATAACATCAGCTGATTTCATGAAATCAGATTCGATTCTGCATATACTTTTTTTAGATGAGTCATAAACTATTAAGCCGGAACCTAGGATATCAGTTATAAATACCTGTGTATATTTATGTGTGTTAAATCATTTAAATTGCAGATATAGGGGAGAGTTGCTGAATGCGTACGGTTGCTTAACATATACATCATCAATATTTTATATTTTTGCCTAATATAAACAACATTTAGTAACAAAAAATGAAATAAATTAGAAAGTAATATAAACAAAAATTTAATAGATTATATCTTGTTTTATACATGCTAACAATTAAAAAATAAGGAATTATTCGTGTTAAGTTTTGATTAATTTACTGTGTTTTGACATAACAGTATGACTGAAATAATCTTATCACAATTATATTTTGAAATTTTATACTTTCATAGAACAAAGGATTCATTGTAAAGATAATATTTTTATAAAATCTGACAACAATTTTTACTAGAATAAATATCAATTTCAGACTAATAATTGATAATAAATCTAATAATTGATATGAATAAAAATATCAATTGCAAAAAGAAATTTAATTCGATTTTATTTTCTTTACATTTTTATTATCATTATCTATTAATTATAAAATATTTAATCCTGTTTTAAATTAGTTAATTAATAAAATAAGTAATAGTTAAATGTTCCAGTTATTAATCTCTTATAAGTTTATATCTCTTATAAATTATTTTAATTTATAAATTCTATACTTTTAAAAGCGGTATCTATAATTTAGACAACTGATTGCTTAAACCATATCTTTTGCGGCTTCTTGTAAAAAAGCTTACAAATTGATTTGTTACTGGTGAAAAGTTAAACATGTAATATACAAGATATCCGAAACATCAAGTTATAATTTCCAACGTTCATTTATATGCAAATCAGTGTAACAAATGGAAAATATAATAAAAAAGTAATTTCAATAGTATGTATTTGACAACTCTCTTTTACATAGTACGGTCTATTCGCACTGTGATTATAATGAAATATACTACTAAAAGAAAATGTACTCACAATCATTTCATCCAGGAATCGTTTGCATGTTTCAGGATAATAAACAAAAGGTGTTGCTAAATGTCCAGCACCTGTTCGATTAGTCGCAATGTCAAGTGGGATGTAAATTGTTTTAACTAGTGTATCGTTCTTTAAATTAAAGATCAACAGTTTTGGATTACAAATTTGGTCGGACCCGATTTTGCCGTTATCCAGAATGACAATGTGATTGCATTGAATCTGAAGTGAAAGTAAAAATTCAATTTCTTATATTTTCATCAAGCTGATCATTGTGTAGGTATGTAGTAGAGAAGTGCGAATCAAGATTTTTTGATGTTGTGTCGAATCGGATTAAATTAAATTTCTTTGTTCGAATTTAAATTGAATCCGAACAGGATCGAATCATTGAAACATAACTTTTAGTTAACAACGTAATTATTGTTAGGTCAAATTTTAATATACAGTAAATATATAAAGTAATGAAAAAGATTTCTAATATATGAAATATATATATATATAATATGTATATATAAAATTGTCAGTATTCGTGTTCAAACCTCTTAAATTAAATTAGAAATTTTCAAATATTTCGGATTTAAATCATAAAGATACAAATCCGAACAGAATTGGACCTTATTTGATTCGATTCGTATTCGGATCTCTAGTATGTAGGTAGGTGCGTAAAAAAACTGTTGGACATTTAAATAATAATATCTAAATATGCATGTATGGTGTAACGCCACTTGAAAAAATGATATTAATATAATACTTACATGCACTCGGTAAACGTTCACAATACCATTACATGTACAACTACTATTATGCCAACTCCAATCTGGATAAGGGCGTAAAAGTGGACCTCCTGGTCCTGTCTTATGAGTTACTGTCGCCACAGTAGCAGGTGCACCAAGGCCTAATTCTCTTCGCGCAGTAACGAATACTCTACCATCTATAAGAATTTTGTTTGTGAACAAAATTTACGTGCTAAAATATATATTCATTCCGCAAGTTTTTGTAACAGCAAAGTGATATTATTTCAGTAACAATATCGAAGAGAGAGAGAGAGAGAATGTATAATAAAAAGTAAAAATCTTAAAGTGATTATATATTAGTTAAATTCTATAATTGTAAGTAAAACTTTCGCTAATAAAAATATTCATATTTTTTTCAACAAAACTTTTACAACACTTTTTCGAAGAATTTGGCATCAACTAACCTTCTGCTTTGTCTGCATCGATCAACACACACATGTAAGGGTCATAAGTGCAAGAATTTATCGCGTCTTCCTTCTGCTGCTCACTTTCCCATTCGTACTCACAATATTTCCATTTATGAACAACATTTACTTTGAGTCCAAAGCTCACAATCGTCGTCGACAGAATTAGCATGGCAAACAAAGAATGCCCCATTTTTTCTCTATCGTAGCGAATAGCTGACAAACAATAATGCTGTGCTGTTCAAAGTACAGAATGGGACTCGCTGTTGGAATACGAATTCGTCTTGAGAATTAAAATTTCGAGTTTCAAGAGAATTATTGCACAGATGTTTTTTTAATCAAATATATTTTGTAATTACCATATCAGCAGAATTGTTGTTTTGTCTTGTCTGCGATTACAGTCTTTTAATTTAATTGCAGCGAAGATATTACAGTAAAATGTTTGAATCACAAAAGTTAACAGATTGTCGGAAAAAACGATGCGTTCGGTGTTTCTCTGTTTTTATTGTGACAAAGTATTTCAAAGTTTTAATGTTTCACTTCGATTTTTTTCGCACAACAAATTGCATTTGTTTATGGAATGCAATAAGTTGTGCAAATTAGTAAATTTTTGAACATGCGTGTGTCTTTCAATAATTAAGTCTGTTGTGACTTTTTGAGTTGCAACAATAAAATAACATAACTGAACTGTATCGATAGACACGTAGGTATATCACAAATGCGAGTGAGGTAACGATTGTGTGCTTGCTATTTATATCTTTTTTCACAATATACATGAATGTTTTTAAAAACCACATTATACAACTTATCATAATTGTAGACTGCTTAATGTCTTTCGATTCGGCTGTATAATGACACTTAGATGACTTATTACGCGTACATAATGATATGTATGTATTATATAATACGTTATTTTATCATAGAGGCCGTGAGGAAAGGAAATTAACGTAATTTTTATTTTATTTAACTTATTTTTGATCGCCAAAGTTTTTGTATAAAGTAGCCAATACAATAGTTAATTTTATAGATCTTTTGGTGTAGAAAACGAATCTTATTTGTATTTGTATGTGTATTTGTAGAATTCCCCTATTATGTTACATTTTTAAGCTATTTTAACTCAAAGATATAAAAAAGTACTTATTTGCTCTTTTAAGTTTACTTTTTTCAAAAAAATTGCAATATAAATGAACAATTACATTAATGGATTCGTTGTTTGCGACTATAAGAATTATCTTGTCTGATTTATGGTCTAAAAAGAGATTTCTTTTTTCGAATAGTATAATTAAGTTTGTGACTTTTTTCGCACAACAATAATAAGGTAACATAACTAAATTATACCTGTAGACAGTATTAGACAGTTAGAGCATGTATATTGCAAATGCGAATGACGGTCGTTCGTCATTTTTTTCTATACAATATACATAAAAGTGCTTTTAAAGGCTTCATCATACAAAGTAACATCGTAAGTACAGTCTCATTAAGTTTTTCGAATCTGCGTACATGACATACAGTACATACAGTGACGAACAGAAATGTAAACACGTAACGCTACTTTTACAATAAAATGATGATACTCAATATTTATGCCAATTATTAGTAAAACACACTCTAGAAGATAAGGATAATGTACAAAACGTAACAATTTATTTTTATTCATAGTAATATTTACACCCCAAAAAAAATATTATAAGCGAAAAATTCCTCTTAGCATTTCCTCTAAGCAAAAAATCTTACATTAATCTTACATTAATCAGGTGTATTTATAACATGTATTTATCTATAAAAATGGGGACACATGAGCTATGATCAAAAATATATAAATTCCTCTATAGAAAATTCTATTATAACATTATACAATAACTCGAATAGCCTTTTGAAATAAAAGGATACACAAAATATTAGCGGCACGCTTATTTGTTAGAAGAAGTTTATCATTTCCGTGCTATCGTAGTACGCGTGCATGTCAGTACATGCAAGACATTCTTCTAGTATTGAGAGGATCGCAATCCTAAATCCAGTACTTTATAGTTATATGAAATTCCTTTACTTTGTAGAGTATTCTCTTGAGGGCATATATAAATGGAAAATCCTCTGACATTAACACGGAACCGCTAAATGGCAAAATATTTTTTTTTTGGGGTAAAGTATACCTATGTACACAAAAAATATACGCTATCATTCATGAACGAAACATTCGAGAATGTTTGCAATGTACTCACATTTCATTCAAACTTAAGTATTTCAGTGAACAGAAAATTTTTTAAAAATGCATTTTAAAGAGGAAAAATAGAGTTTTAAATCGGCATTTGAATTTCATTTAGGTATATGATATTTTGTCCCTAAAATACATAAAATTGGAAAATTGATATTTTTTTCAATATTTTTGTTATATTTTAAAGCGTTGTTCCTGACTGAAACGTCAGCGGATTAAAAACAAGTAAGCATTTTAAAGTAGACTTTCGAAGTTGTTAAAAGCTTTTTGAAAAAAATTGATACGATGAGTTTTCGCAAGAATTTTGAATTTTTATTGTCTAAAATTTTATTATGTAAAAATTTACTTTATCTAAAATGTGTTTTAATTTCGAAACTAAAAAGTTTACGAAAAAAAGACAAAAAATGTTTATTTTAGTATGATTATTTATTTTGTAATTAATGTTAACAGTTGCACTCAATAAAGTTATTATTATTATTAAATCATAAAAAATTTTTTGACCCTGCTAATTTTTATAAAATAATACATTTTGCTTACTTTTTATATAGGTTGAAAGACAAAGATTGCAATGCCGAAATCAAAGGCGCCGTGCAAGTTTTTAGATTACGCCGCAGGCCACACTGTAAAAAATACTCAGAGTGGACACAACTAAATCTGAGGGTTGCGCGATTTAAGTTAAGTATAATTAAGTCAAGAAGAATGAAAACCTAATTAGTTGAATAACTTCACTAATTAGACGAATAACTTCACGTAGTAAAATGTACTTAAAAATTTAGTCAAAGTATATGATTAACCGATCTGAAACATGGTTAAGTGTGTTAATGTTAGATATTCATTCAAATTCAAACTATTACAAATGTGATTTAACTACGTAATAATAATAAATCTGCATCTACATGGAGATCAAATCAGTCATAGAGAAAAGTACATTGAACTAATTATTTACGTAATTCGATGATGGGGCGCTATTTACAAGCATATTTACAAAGTTGATTAAATCATTATTGGTGGTAAATGAGCATGAATATAACGTAAAAGAAACAGGACTTAAATGTAGTAGGAACTCAATAAATTATTGACGGTACTTCACTTTGATTTAGAGCGAGAGAGCGTTTTGTGGAGCTATCAATAGAAGGCGCGTGTACTCGTAAGAGATTCGACATCTACCTGTATAAAGCGAGGATGGTCAAATGATCAAACCATTAACCATTTTCATGCACTTCTTGCCACATCATGGTGATAAACATTTTTTTCAGAGTGGAGTAGAAAGTTTTAATAATTAATTAAATTATTTTACAAAGTAACAGGATCAAATAAATTTAATGAATTGTCCTATTAAGGGGATGCTGGAGTGACCAAGTTAATCACATTACAGTTGTATAAAAATCTTCGAATTGACTGAACGGAATAAAAAAACTTTTTACAGGATATTAAAGTAGACCCAAAATTTTAAAAAGTGGTACAGTGGACCTTGTACTAAAATCGAAAAAAATGTTAAAAAATTTTTTACAAGGTCCACTACATCACTTCCTAATTTTGGGTCTATTTTAATCCCCTGTAAAAGATTTTTTTATTTCGTTCAATCAATTCGAAGATTTTTATGGTATATAACTGTAATGTAATAATTTGGTCATTCCAGCATCCCCTTAAATAAATTATTAAATCTATACTTTACTCGAAAACAAAGTAGAAATCACCTCAAAATTGTTACTATCAACAATTTATTGAGTTCTCGTTACTTTGTAGAACAGTTCATTCAAATATTAAAATCAATCTGTTCTATTGCAGATTTATTTCATCGTGCTCATAAAGTATTTTTATTGACAGTACAATTATGTTTGTTTACCATCAATAATAGTTTAATCAATTTTATAAATATTTTATAGAAATAAATTCAATGTTTATTTAACACAAGGAAGATATTAAAGGAAGTTAAAATTTTTCTTGACGCAACCTGACAGTTAATTCGCCATATTTAACTCTGAGATTGAGTTGGTTTACGTCAATTCAAATTGAATTTCCTGATTTTTTTTTACAGTGCATTCCATCCTTTCTTGCTTTAATGTTATATGTGAATTGCTGTGGAATGTGTGTTAGCTATTCGTTTATCGCTTTATATCTATACGTCGTACACGACTTCTTCAGCGCTAACACATGACAGATACGGATGTAAAAGTGGACTTCCTGATCCTTTCTTATCAGTCACTGTCACCAAAGTGGCAGGTGAACTAGGGTCAATTTCTCTTGACGTAGTAACGAATACTCTACCATCTATAAGGATTTTGTTTGTGAATGGAACTTATCTTCTACTAAAAGGTAAACATTTTCCAGTCATTGAACATATACCTATGTCCGGAAACTCGTACACAAAATTTGTTATTATTAATATTTTAAATGTTTTTTATTACACTATTATAATTTAATTGTATTTAAAGATTACAATTAAATTATAGTATATTTAAAAAAAGCATTTAAGATTAATAATAATATACAATAAATAAATAATATTTTGTGTAAATGTCCGGATATAAATATATTCGATTACAAGTACATTTACTTATTATTTATTTGAAGAATTTCATGCAGTACCGATGCTGCATTGCATTACATCGTAATACACACATACGCACACGCACACGCACACACATACATAAATATATATATATGTATTTGTATGTACATATAATATATATATGTATATATAATAAAAGTAATAATCATAAAATATAATAAGATTATATTTATGGTTAAATGTTGTAACCGTAAGTTAAACTTTCGCTAATAAAAATATTTCTCGACAAAATCTTTTCAACTTTTTCGAATAATTTGTTATCAACTTACTATTTGCTTTTTCTGCATTGATAAACATGCTCATGTAGGAGCTGTAAGCACCAGAACTTATCGCGTCTTCCTTCCGCTGCTCACTTTTCCATTCGTACTGACAATATTTCCATTTATGAACAACATTTACTTCGAATCCAAAGCTCACAATCGCCATGGACAGAATTGGCAGAGCAAATAGAGAATGTCCCATTTTTTTACTGTAACACACGGGTAGCTTAAAGACAATGATGTTGTGTCATTCAAGGTATATAACGGGATTTGCTGCCGGGATATGAGTTTGTCTTGACGGTTAGAATTTCGAGTATCAAAAGAAATATTGCATAGGTTAGGTTTCAAATATTTATTGTAATGATACTTACTGTATTCACGGAGTTATTGTTTTATCTTCTCCACAATTATATCAGTCTTTTAATACAGTCAAAATAAAGATATAGTAAGATATTGCCAAAATATCACAACTATTAATAGATTTTTAGAAAAATATTGCACTGATGCATTCGATAGTTCCTCTATTTTTGTAAGTAGATCCTAATGTTCCACTTTGGTATTCACAACAAATTGCATTTGCTTATAGAATACAATAAATCATGCAAATTAATAAATGTTTTAATATATGTGTGTCTTTTGATAACTAAGTCTGTTGTAACTTTTTGGGTTGCAACAATAAAACAATATGATTGAACTGTACCAGTAGACACGTATACCACAAATACGAGTGACGCAATGACTGCTTGCTATTTTACAAAATACCTTTTTTTTGTAAAATACACGAAAATGCTTTTAAAAAAATTACACAACTTATAATTATAATTGTAGTCTAGTTAAAGTTCATCCGAAGTGGCATTATTATGGCAGTTTTAGATGACTTACTGCGCGTACAGTAACATACAATACGTAGTTGTCTCATCAATGAAGCCATCATATAAAATAGTATTGTTTTATTTGTTTTATATTTGTCTCTATTTTTAAAATGTGAAATAAATATTTTTTAATTTTCCTGAGATCAAAATTTAAATTTGTACTTGGCGTTTTTTTTTATTAAATAATGTAAATGCGCTTTTATTGTATAATAATGTAATCATTATTTTTTATTATGAGAGAGAGAGAGATTCAATTATACTTAATAATAATTAATAGCATATTCTTCATGTTCTTTTTTATTAATAGTTTTGTAATAAAAAATAGGTGAATAATTTTAGAGAGAGAGAGAGAGGGGGGGGGCACTGTTGAAAGTTACTGGCCCTATATTGTTAATTGATACTGAAGTGGAGATACATACAATACAAAACGATATTGAAGAAAACATCGAATTCTAATATACATAAATACAACATTGACAATCGATACTGCGCCAGATTTTAACACCTCAATATTATGCCTATACTGAATCAATATTAGCATACAATAGCCTATAGCATTGAAATTTCAGCTTCCAACATTGGATTAACATTAGGCCATTTGTAAACCTCTATTTAGGATTCTCTTTATTGTATATTTATACATACAAATATTCTTTATTATACAAGGATAGTCAAATATGAACAAGACAAGTTTTTGTGTGAAAAACCAATGTGGTAGACATATTTACATTGAGTGACAAGTGAAGTATTTGCTAACGTTTGTACATAGTTGTGGCCTCGTAGCAGTACGTTTCTGTAGTTGTTGCAATTTACAAATAAATAGTACCATTGCGCAACGCATTGTTCAAATTCATTGTGTGCGTTGATTGAGTTTCTTATGAATGTTAAAGCTGTTAATATTTTGCATAAAATGCATGCACAATTCGGAAAAGAGAGCTATTGAAAGCACAAGTGTGCAAAGGCACTCGATACTATTTGCTCGCATATAGCAAAAACTGCTGTGAGGTTGTAATTACATAGAATAGATACCCCCCACCCATCATTCTGTGTAAGTATATCTAACATTAATTTATAATTATACAAAAAAAGAATTGCTGAGCCACCCACACATATTCATGCATATATATAATAAAGAGAAATATGTCATTAATTTCTTTTTTTTTCACTTACTGGCTTTATTTTATTCTATTATGTTGATACCACTTACTACACTGAAGACATTGTCCCTAATATGTTTAATTTATACTAATTGTAAGTACATATACTCTATAATTGTCCAATTACAGTTTGTTCATTTTTGCATGACTTTATCTTTTACATAACATTTTTATTATTTACAAATAGTAAAGAAATAATCACAATACTCTGAAAAATTGTCTTTAATAAATAATATGTTTTGTCTTAACTTCTAAAAATAAACGTTTCCGTTAAAATTGCAATCACATCATCATGTAACTATATTGTATGCCAGGTCTGTCCAGTTTGAGCACCGGAGCCAAAACGCAAAGCCATCGACGTAAAAAAATTCAATGTGAAATTCAATGTGAGTAAGATTTTAGGAACTATAACGTGTTGACAAGCGTCACTTAGATGCGTATAAAATACTTTACAGTCCTCGAAATTTTATCCACATTGAATTTTTTTGCGTCGATAGCTTTGCGTTTTGGCTCTGGAGCTTAAAATTGGATAAGCCTGTTGTATGCTATTTATATTGAAATTATTCACCTTTATAAGATTATATTTAGGAGATAAGAATTAGCCCAAGATTACACATGTAAAAATTTCAAAGTAGTTTATTATTTACTTACATATCAATAATTATTTTTATATATATGTATAATTCACAAATCCTCAAATTTTCTTAAGAATATTGAAGAGAAAGTTTTTGTAGATCAAGCTTTTGCAGTACAGAATTGTGAGTATACAGGGTGTTTCCAAATTAAATGGCAAAACTTCGGGAGCGTTTCCAGTCTCTCGCAATCTATTAAATGTCAACATAAACACTCTTCGGTTTGGCACTCTTCTGTTTGGAAATCGTCGTGCATATTCTCGCACCGCCTTTAAAGCATTACCGTTGCAGAAACCGTATACAAAAACCATATCAGCATATTCACTATTAGAATACGTACGCGGCATATTGCAAAAGACAAAATTCATCTACTGTTAAAGGCTTTCAAAGAGCGACTGACAAATTCATAACAGAAAGTGGAAAATGTAATCAAATATGTCGGTGCTAGATATGGCAAGAAATGTAAACATTTTTTTTCGATTTCTCTGAAACGGAGCAAAAACGAGCATATGTCTATAGGACTTTTTTTCTTAGTTTTTTACTCCTCTACACGCTCCCGAAGTTTTGCGATTTAATTTGGAAACACCCTGTATATAATTCTTTTTTTTACGTATTCAGTGTAAATTTCAATCTTACGTATGTTTAAATATGTATAATGTTGAAATATTAAAAATCAAGTTTTAGTTGTGATTGGACAAAATAAATCTGTTTTTTTTTCCTGTATATCTGCTAAATCTATTTCCATACAGCAGGAGTTTATTTCATATAAATTTATTGTACCAAGAATGAAACACTGAAATCTACTTGAAAAAGATACGCTAGCTGATCCTAAATAGATGAATATTTCAATCCACTTACACCTTGTAATTTTTCGGAGTCTTGCGCAACCTTAAAATTAATATTTCATTTTGCAACGATAAAATCGTAAGTACTAATAACTACTAGTTATAACAGTTATTAAAAAAATTAGAAACAATTTATCATTGACTGATGTACCTATAAAGAATAATTATGTTTGGATATCTTACTGTGTTTTTACCAGATTTCTTACAAAAGTTCGTGCCCAGAATAGACATTTCTTAAGTATTGCTATAAAATATTACAACTTTCGCTGTTGTCATTGGTATTATTTGGCTTGAAATTTTTTTATGAGTTTACTTTTTTTTTATCAGCTATTTCTTTATTTGGACATTTTAGTAGCGTCACCTAATGCTAAAACTTCATTATACGACCATTATTGTAATATTTATAGACGACCTTTAATGTTTATTACACGTGCATAACACACACACAATAATGCAGTTATAGCATGATACAAACGTATATTATATCTTATCATATCTTATCAACGAGGCCATCAGGAAAAAATGATGAGAATGGAAAAAATTTTGTTTTATATATACAGGGTGTATCTGAAATAACGTACACTAATCATACAGTGCTATTCCTAATAAAAAACTGAGTCGAAAAGTCCTGTACCATTTTGCAATTTTCGCAAGTTAACAAGATATTAATTATCGTTGAATATTGGTTTTCAATAATTTTTTACTCAAATACTATCAACTTTACAGAAAAACTGCAATAGACAAAAATCATTTATTTTCTTTTTCAGAATTTTTTATCAACTTTTTAGTATTGCATTTTCTTATTTTTACTAATATGAGAAAATATAGTATTAAAAAATTCCGAAAAAATTCTGAAAAAATTCTCATAACTTTATGAGAAGAAAATAAATAATTTTTATCTCTAGCAGTTTTTCTGTAAAGTTGATAGTATTTGAGTAAAAAATGATTGAAAACCAATATTCAGCTACCTTTGTAATTAATATCTTGTTAACTATTACGAAAATTGCAAAATGGTAAAGGACTTTTCGACTCAGTTTTTTTTATTAGGAATAGCACTGTATGATTAGTGTACATTATTTTAGATACACCCTGTATAATACATATATATGTATGTTTTAAATTTTTCGTTTTTATTTTTTTCAATTATGCAATAAAAATATCTGAATTTTTTTCGAGCTTGCACTTGATTTCTTTTGTTAAATAATGTAAACGCGCTTTTATAATGACATTATTTTTAACTGGAATTCAGTTATATTTAATCGTTATAGCATAGATATTGCGTTCTTTTTTATATTAATGGCTTTAATAAAAAATAAATAAATGATTTTATGCATAACTAACCTTTAGTACAAATGTTTAAGTCATTCGTATCTTGCACATTTCTTCTCTTCGACAAACTAGGCATATCAAGTAACATTTTTACATATATACAATTTTTTTTAAATATATAACCTTATATTAAAATATATAACCTTTCTAAAGTTGTTAAAGTCAAAGTATATGTCAAAATCATTTAATATGTTAATTTATACAAGATACATGTTGTTACAAGACCCATTCAATAAAACGCTTGAACACGGCATAATTTATTTTCAATGTAGATTATTCATCTTGTTAAAAAAAAGATTAAAATCCGTGAAGAGAAAATCCCACTGTGTTCTCTCCTTGTTAATATTGCTTTTACATGAAATATCGA